GGGATCTCTATAAATCAATGGACAAGATTATTGAGGTTAGTTCTAATCCAAGAGGAAGAAAAAGGGTGTTGGGGATCATGATCTTTCTGCCTGTATCATTTAGGAATTTATTTGTTGCAATTCCAATATGGTTTTAATGTCTCAATCGTTTGCAAATAAATTTAATGAAAAATAGGGGTACTGGTGACGGTAAGAGTTTTGCCTTTGTCACATTCAAAACCAAGGAGGTTACACAATAGGCCATTGAAGAGTTGCACAACAAAGAATTCAAGGTATTTTTGTGCTTACAACAGTACGACCTATTTTTGGACACATTGGTCTTTGCAAAAATTAAATGTTTGGGACCTGAGACGCACTTATTCATTTTTTTATTTTTATTTTTTATAGGCAAAATAAAAATGGGCATGGTTATTCCGATGCATTCCCAATACTGTTTTAGTTTGTGACTTTTTGTACGTCTCATCACTATAGGGTAGAACATTAAGGTGTTCACTCTCTGAAACTAAACACAAGTTGTTTATTGTTAATGTTCTGAAAACTTGGATAGATGATGAGTTTAGAAAAGTCATTGAGGTGACTGGTCCAGAGGCAAAAAACATTGAGCTTATAAAGGTGCTTTTTGATTTTTGAAATTTTGAACTACATGTGTTATAAATAATTGTGTAGTTGTCTTGATAATGAACTAGCTATAACTACTACAATGCTGGTACCATTGTTTTCTTGTAATAACGGGATCTACGAAATCCAAGCCAGAATCGCGGCTTTGCTTTTGGTGAGTATTACAACAATGTATGTGCTGACTATTCTAGACAAAAAATGTCGAATACTAACAAGAATCATGCATCAATCTGCTTGGTGATGTCTTCCTTGATTTTCAGTGCCCAATCCGGATGAATTCGACGCAGTTTCTGCTTGACTGGTCTGGCCTCAGGGTCAAGAGGGATCCGGTGCTATACAATCTCAAGACCGATTCCAGGCATGTCTTCGTAGGATTGCGCGAAAATATCTTTGAAATCTTTTAATAAAGCGATTAAACGCTCGCGCTCCTCCGAAGACAACGTGGACCCGATTTGGACCAAGTGCGGATCGTTCTCAGTACCCACATTAATGGCAATGATTTCATCAGCACATGGTTTAGAAAACCTCTCCTCCTCTTAATTAATCAAGTTTTTCAAAGCCAGAGGAATTTCTTCCGCTTCATTTTCATTAAAATTTTGAAAGTCTTGGTCAATACAATAAACCAACGGCACAGAAAAGTATACAGAATTCGTAAAGTTTTCATTCAAAAGGTCCAGATCTTCGGTTACAAACTCAAAAGAAAAGATGAATGAAGACCTAGACAGGACTCTGGTATCCGGGTTACCAACCCCAGAAATACCAGACTCAGACTTAAAGGAACTCGAATCTAATCCTGACCCCATAGACTCAATGGAATATTCTAGCTCATCACCCGATTCAGAACTGGACATATAGTTTTCCTCCAGCTACCAAGTAAGAGATGGTGCCCCTGATACATCCAAAATGCCACTGGTTGGGTTCACACCCGGTTCTTCCCCGATCATGGAGATAGTAAAGTTATCCCCCAAGTTCTCTAGGTCAGCCGCAGGATCTAACAGGAGACTAGCTAGTACAGCCCTTGCTTCAGGTTTGTTGTCATCTAAGTCACCGTCCATGCTCTATTCAATTTTGATGCTTAGCTTAGTCCTTTTCTCATCATTATTGTCCTACAGTTGATGATCAAAGAAAATCTCAAACCCAAGGACACGTTGCTTAGATGAATTTACCCAAGGCTTTGGGAAAGCCACAAAAAGGGAAGTCTTCTCCTTCCCTAACAAAATGGCCATTTAGTGTCCCCTGGATTGGCCTATGGAGAAGTTCATAGTGTTTTCCGACTTGCTTGGCCTTGGCTTAACTTCTCATCTCTTCCCTCTTTCTGATCCAATCCTCTTTGGTGTGCACATAACCCAATCTAAAGGCATGTGGGTTGTGTGGCACATCTGTCAGTGCTGCAACACCTTTCCAACCACTCTTTCCGAGCCCCATTCCTGGAATATGCCGCAATTTGTTCATGAAGTAAATAGACTGGGCACTAATGTACATGCCTTCGTCTGCGCACTGCTGGAAAATCGACTTTTAGTGGCATTCAGAAAACGCTGCTATATATATATATCAAAAACTCCGCTAATACGTTTAGGACCAAACGTCGAAGATATGGCCGTCGCTGTAGCTTTGTGACGTTTTAAAAACGCCGTGATATTAGTATAGGAGGCGTTTTAAAAAACGCCGCCAAATGTCCCATTGTACATGCGCTGACGTCACTAACGATATTTAGCGACATTTTGGAAACGCCGTCATATCTGTTTTAAAAAATTTGACCGTTGGTATTTAGGGTTTAGGAGGCGTTTGTAGAAACGCCGTCATATCCTCTCTCTTTTTTTAAAAAAATTGTGCTAATTTTATTTGATTGAATTAAAAAAATACCTGTAATAAAGCTAACATATAAAATATTAACTCCCATTTAAATAACAAATGAAACATTAATTCAGTTTCTCATTCAATTGATATACAATCACCATTATCCACAAAATAACATATCCAAAATCCAAAAATCATGTTTTAACATTTACCACAAACTAACATTATATCCAAAAATCATGTTTTAGCATAAAAGCTGTAGTCATCACTGGTCTACATGCCTGCATTAGAACATAAACTGCAATCAGATTCACCAAAATAAACAAAATTGAAGAATTTGTACCCAATATTTATAAACAGTACTTAAAACTTGAAGAAGCACTAACAACAAGATTTTATCACATACCAAGAAGCACTACAAATCCAAGAATATAAATGCAAAGAAGCACTATGACTATGCCTCAAGGATGAAGATTTTAATCATTAGAAAATTATACTGTCCTACTTGATACTTCTTTCTGCTCATTATGTCAGATAAATGAAATTCCAGCAATCATAAAACCAGTATAATATCTAGCTTTTTAGCACCTAAATAGATAGAAATGCATGCCTACATTATATATTATATTACATAATGCAGTGTTCCATGCACATGGACATTGAAGACAATAACTGACAAAGAAAACCTATGCAGGGAAACTCCAAGAAACTGACACCAGTAAAACCATAAGCTTTTTAACTGAAGCAGTTATCTCAAAATGTACCACTGTTTATTCCAATAGTCAATTAACAGAAGCAGTTACAAAAATAAACTATAAGCTTTTTAAGCTGCTTGGGAATAATTCACACACTAATATATATGTATATATATTCATAAATTTCACAATTTTAGATGACAATCCCCAGAATTGAAACCCCAATTATCCACTCCAGCCGCCATAATTCTCAGGAAACAAACAACACAAAACTTTTCAAATTAAACAAGAAGAAGAAAAATGATTCGAACAAATATTTGATCACCATACAATCCAGGAAGTTTCAATTCTACAACCAAATAAAAAAAAAAAACTAATTCCATACCAGAACCCCAAATTTTCACCAGATACTGAAATATATACAGATCTTTATATGCATATTGTATGTGATTGGTATCGGGAAAGAAGGATTACTTAGTTACAGAGTCAAATCGAAACAACGGAATCGAAGCGTGTTGTTCGCGATCACAGAAAGAGCTGAGAAATAGAGTTGACTCGGACGCGTTGCTCTATGTAGTATTCAGTGCAATTTCATTGCTTTGTGTTAGGTAGGCTTCGGTGGCATTGGAATGAAAAACGATGAATTAGAGGCTGCGATATATTACCAAGGCCATGTTTGGGCAAACCAAATTAAATAGGTTTATCCTTTTTATGATTTGTAGTTTTAGAATTATCTATTGTTTTATTTGTTGAATTGACTCACTATTAAACATTAAGCAAACATCATATCTTAATAGATTTAGAAAGTGAGAAATTAAAAACTAGTGATGTTAGTACTTTTACCTTGTTAGTTCTTCTTCTTCTTTTTCTCTTTCTTTGAAAAGTGAACCTATATTTAATAAGAGCAAGTATTGTAAATAATAAGATATGGTATTTGTCAAAAAAGATTTGATTAAATGATTGCTCACCTCTTGAGATGAAAATGCATGAGATTGTTGTTGATGTGACATTGACAGAACAGTGGGATGACTACTAAGTGAATCCATAACCTATCATTCAATAAGAGGCTTAAGTTGTATATTAGCTCTAGGCAATTTAAATTAATAACTCGTAAAAATAATTAAAATACCTGTTAGCAGATGAATGGTTCATATTAATGAAAAAGTACATAATTTATTTGTACATAGTTATTTCCTGATGATTCTAACGAAGTATGGTCTGGACTTACCCTAATGAAAACTTAACAGTGTTCCCCTCAAGGAATTTACATAGTTGAATTACATGTAACCAGGCATTATGAGTATTTTCTATTTTCGATTTTGTTATTTGAGTTAAGTAATTCAATAGATAATACCATTAGGTTAAAGCATGTTGGGGAGGGAGAGAGAGAGAGAGAGAGAGAGATTTTAAAGCTTTCAGCATCAAGCACATGTATTGTTTAAGCTTGCATATATAAAGATGAAACCATCCAGTAATGTATCTGACGATTCTCACGAAATGTGAGGAGACACGTACCTCACATTCTCACGAAATGTGGACAGATCCCATAGATCTTTTGTTAAGAGAAAGTTCCCCTGCAATTACCACTGTTGCTGTTATACATTTAAAGGCATTTCCAATATCACAACGGCTGCATCAGAACAAGTACCTGGTCCTTAGCTTTATCTGTTTGTTCCTGTTGAATAACTTTTTGAAGCCCTTTTTTTGACATCTGACACCGGTAGCAGAAGATCAGATCGGTTCTTAAAAGCAACAAAGACAAATCACGCATCAAGTTCTCAAACTGCAACAAAAGTGGTAATAACATTAACTAAATTATTGATGTGTCAAAACCTTTTCTTCAATGGTTCTAGTACTAAAAAATCTATAGATATACACTCGCTTTTTTTGTCCATCTCTCCAGACTCTTGCAGCAGCCTGCATGATTCAAATAATAATAATAATAATAAAAGACAAAAACACAGAAGCCATGGAAAAACAATAGGGTTATTTCTTTTTTGAAACACGTCAAGGTCCTGTATGAAAATTTAGGTAAAGTAATTACTTGTTTGTCATTGGCAGGATTCCAATCAGGGTCAAATAAGACCAGTCGATTCCCACCTATCAAATTGAGGCCACAACCACCAGCCTTGCTGCTCAGGAGAAAGACAAACTCATCCTGACAGATGTAAATTGAACTTGTTTCATCAAGTCAGCTCACATAGTTGCATATTCAATTAATGGACCAAAAATTATGTACCTTAGATGGATCATTAAAGCGGTTCACCACCTTTTTCCTTTTACTAATTGATGTAGTTCCATAAAGCCTTAGGAACAGATATCTTCTCTCCCGACACAATTGAGCAAAAGGTCCAGTGTCAGACGAATTAAAACTAAGTTATTTTTTTGATCAGCAAAAAAAACTTTATTGATGAAAGAGGCATAGAACATGCAAAATTACATCAACAAAGCAGGAGAGTGCAGAGAGCATCATAGCTAAACTTAACGATCCCAACGAGGTTGGCACCGCAAAGAAAGCGCAATCATATGCTAGCACTCGACCCGAGATTGGTGAGGAGCCAACCAAGGACACCCAAAAAGAGGGCACCCAAAGCAAAAAGAAAAGCAAAACCTATAAAGCTTAGCAGCCACAGGCCAAACTCTGCAACCTTAGCCAAGAACTCTACATGGACCAAAACAGCAAACACTGGGCCAAGCTCTGGGGACAGAAGGAAGCCAAACACTGCAACCGTAGCCAAAGACTCTACTCTACTTGAACCAAACACACTCAGACTCTACTTGAACAGGACAGATCACAGCAGGCCAACACAGCCATCCAGTCCCAAACCCCACAGATTGGCCATCCAGACCCAAACAACACAGATGCACAGAACCAGTAGAACAGATCTCAGCAGACCAACCCAACAGCTTCACAAACCAACCCAGCAGACTAAGCCAACGTAGAGGATTAAACAAGGCAAAACAGAAACAACCCTGCAACAAAACCATCCAACTATCAAGCGGAAACAACCCTGCAACAACAGACCAACACATCACAGCAGAGTGGCCAACAGAACAGATTAACCTCTACTGATACACCTTCTAATCTGAGGGAGATTGAAGACAAAATCATGAATAGGATACTGCCACTGCCTAGAAGCTGTACTTAGCCAAAAAGCCACTCTATACTTAACTAGATCAGAGAGAATCTCTACATCAGCTACTACATTATTGAATACACAGTCATTTCTTTGCTTCCAAAGAGACCAAAGGGTTACAAGAGGGATACATCTCCAAATCACCTTCTCTCTCTTCTGAAACTTGCCACCCTCCCACCACTGTAACAAACAATCAACTGAGCCAGGCATTGCCCAATACAGACCCCACCAATCAAGCAAGGACGACCATACCATCCACACAACATGGCAATGAAGGAGCACATGTAACACTGATTCCTCATCATGCTTACAAAAGCAACACAGGATAGAAGTTCCTCCAGGGAGGACCTTTATTTTCTGAAGGAACACAGAGGTCTTGATCTTATGCTTCCAAGCGAGCCAGCCAAAAAACTGGACTTTAGGGGGTAAAACCTTATTCCACAGCATTCTAGGAGCTCCCAGTTGATTTCGAACTCCACTGGAACAATGCTTATACAGAGAAGCTACTGAAAAGAGACCTGATGATGTGGCTGACCACTTAGGGTAATCAACTCTGTCCATCCTAATTAAGGGACCAGGAGAGATAATAGAGACCAGTCTCAGCAAATCTACTATTTCCCATTCAAACAACTCTCTTCTGAATAATAAGTTCCACTCCCCTAAGGATGCCTTTAGATCAACAAAAAGTCTAAGAGCTCATTTCTTTTCTTTTGACAAGCTGAACAGTCTAGGAAATTCAACTCTCAAACAGTGGCCATCACACCATATATCCTCCCAAAATCTTATTCTATAGCCATCTCCCACCTGCACGTTGAAATTATTAAGAAAACACTCCAACATGGAGGGGTAGAGAGAGGCCAATGATGTAATATCTCGCCATAATTTTGACTGCCTCCAGCTATCACTAGAAATCGGCAACCAGCAGCACTCATCAATGTTGTATTTACTGCAAATTACTTTTCTCCACAGAGCTTTTGACACACAAGCAAACCTCCACCACCACTTCAGTAACAAACAGGAATTAGCAACTCTAACCTTCCTAACACCCAACCCTCCATTATCAATACTATTGGTAACCTCCTCCCATTTGACTAGATGAACCTTCCTTTTTAGATCCGAGCCACCCCATAAAAAAGCTGCTTGGATTCTTTCAAAATCCTTAGCCACTCCCTCCGGCATTCTAAATAGAGATAAATAGTAAACTGGTAAGCAGGAGAGAGCAGACTTAATCAAAGCCAACCTACCCGCAAATGACAACATTCTCCTCTTCCAACCTGCCAGCCTAGCCTTAACTTTCTCAATAACTGGAGTCCAAGACTTCCTCTTACTAGGACTAACCCCCAAAGGGAGCCCAAGATAACTCAAAGGTAATGAGCCAGTCTTGCAATTCAGCTTGGCAGCAAAATCTACCAGGACAACAGAATCCACTCCTACTCCACAAACCACACTCTTATGATAATTAATTTTCAATCCTGATACTAGCTCAAAACAACGAAGGATCCTTTTTACATTGACTATTTCCCCTTCATCAGCCTCACAGAATAGGATAGAATCATCTGCAAATTGCAAATGAACACCAGAACATCATTAACCCCTACCCTAACACCCTTAATTAAATTCAAATCTAGAGCTCTGGACAAAAGAACATTCAGGCATTCTGCCACAATAATGAATAGAAAAGGTGAGAGGGGGTCACCCTGCCTTAGTTAAATTCAATTCAATTCTTAGTTTTTTAGAATTAAAACTAAGTTATTTAACACCAAACAAAACCAATAATAATAATCTTATGGGAAAAGAAGTGCCACAAGTAATTGCCTGATGGACAGGATACATAACCAGACAACTTGCATAGCAGTAAACATTCTCATAAGCAAAAAAAAAAAAAAAAAAAAATCAATTTCACTGTGAGAACATTTTTTTGTATTCTTTTTTGGGAGTGCGAAAACTACAGCATCCAAATAGATCCCACATGGCTACAGCTTCTCAAGAACTACGTGTTTTGTGTGAGACAAAAAGCTAAGGCAACAATACATTGTTTGATTTGTACTTCAGACTAACCAGTTACTTCAATTGGCAAGAATCAATCTAAGAACTACCTGTGTGTAGTTTGAGACCAAGAAAATTCGGTCATCTGTTCTCTGGTGCAGTTGGGAGAGAAACCGAGCTAAGACATGCATTTTTCCAGATAATTCAACCCAAACCCCCTCGCCACCAGTCCAAGATCCAGATCTAACGGAATAGATAGAACTCCAAGATATCAAAAATATTGGAAAAGAATTTTAGAAATGTAAACCAAAGAAAATATGGAAGCAATGACTTACCTTCCAGAGAATCTTGAAAAAGGAAAGTAAATGTATATATGGGTAAGTGTATATTCCTGGGTTTTTCTATTGGCGTAGTCAAAGAAATGTCTGAAAGATCATTGGAAAAATAAAATGAGATCTGATGTGCACTCTTTAATTCAGTCATGAGCTGCCAAAATAGCTGCTACAACTCTCTTCAATGATTTAGAGGCCTTGCGCAGATCAGATTCAGAAAATGGAATGCTACAGGGAATAAAAGTTACATCAGAATTATATATGAAAGGTGAAATCAACACAATCTACTACTTACCAAATAACAGTAGTATAAATTCATAGTATTAGGTACTAAATAATTATTTAAAAGAAAACCAATTCACTCACATAATTTGGGAAGATAACCATATCAACATTCCCAGGCACCTCTGCTAACTGCACATAGAATAATATTAAGAACAAACACACTAACGTCTAACTACACATAGAATGAAGAATATACCATCATAAAAAGCTGTCAAAATTTCATAAATATCAAAGCGAGTGCCAGCACCTAAAATCCTTCCCAACATTAACCACCCAAAACCACTGTACAAACCTATAATATTCATTCAAGAGAATATTCATTTAACTAGCAATAATAAACAAGAATCATAAATAACTTAAGCTCACATGTAGCTGTTAACCTTATCTACATGACTCATTGCACTAATGGAAGCTCAAGCAAAACAATAAGTTAATTGAATTACCTGCATTTCCTGATAAAGTTTTAACTGTATCAAGAACCTGAGCTGTAGTCAACTGTTTATTAGAAACTAACCCTACCTGTTATTTTTTTCTCCACCACAACAAATAAGCATCAATATTAGAAATAGATAGTCATATGCAAACAAACAGTTCCAAAATCAACACCAACATGCATACGCACACACATATGAGCATACAAATGTAGACAGAGGTTGGTTTCAAACTTTGAACCTGTATAAGGACTTTGATAGTATCAAGAGGGTAAATGAGGGCAGTGCCCAATGTGATTGAACCTGCAACAGCAACTGCATGTGTAGCAAAAATCTGGTTCTTCATTAGTACTTCCATCTGAAAGATTTGCACAAATGCCAAAAACAACTAGGCAGTCCACAACCTGAAACTGAAGTTCTGAAGAGTCTTTATATCAGATTTAAATAGTTTTTTGGAGATCCAATTTCTTCTATCTTCATATGGTTACAGAAAAGTACCCTCAAACCTCAATGCATACATTGAGCACTCACAATATGTAAAGACAGAAAAAAAATATTAATCATAATTCTCAATGTGTGTGCATCCAACATGCTTCCAACTACATATGCTTAAAATTTAGCTCTATATGAATTTGCAATTACACAGTAAATATGAAGAGATATCGGGCCTGACCAGCTTTTATAAAAGAAAGAATATAGGAAATTACAGTTGTGCAAGTGAACCACACTGCAAATAGATTTGGAGCTTAAATTCTATAGTTGGAATTTGGTGTAGTTTTCAACAGTTGGTAATCGCTGAAAACAAAGAGAATCAAACTACCAATCATGTCAAAATGATGTGGCAACATCATGAACAGCCCGAAACACATGATGCTATATGGAGATGTTCAACAAAAACGTATAATAGACAATTTATAAATGAAAAATAAATCAACTATACATGTGATACATCTCTAGTTTCAATCTAGTCATGTAGTTTCAATTTTACCAATTTCATCCATTAATTTATTAAATTGGGTCAATTTAGTCCAATTTATAACCTATATTAAGAAATTGGATAGACATCAAACAAAAAAATGGCCCATTCAAAAGGGACTGGATCATTTCAAATTGGAC